TCTGAGGTGGAAGTGTTAGAGTGGGTGGTTAGGCAGACATGAACATCAGAGGAAGAGCCCACTCCCCACCAGTAATGTCAGGGGACCATTAGGTGATGGTCAGGTAGTTGTTAGGCAGTCTCTCTAAAATAATGATTGTTTGCAGCCAGTGCCAGAGGAAAGGCAGTCTCCCCAATACATAGAAAATCCTTGAAGCTGGTGACCAGCAGCTTCCTGATAAGGAGTTGGGCAAGCAGGCTCAAGCATACACTAAGAGGCAAAATGGCAGAGTTTAACTGGTATCTGACCTTCCTCTAGGAACACTTGACTAGTAAAGGAAAATGCCACAAGCGAGCATGCACACAACTTCAGTAAATACACTGTGCATGTGGCCGCTCACAAGTCCTGGCAGGCCACTGTGCCTGTGGACAACCCATCCCAAGGAAAAGTCAAGAAAGAAGAGATACAAAACTCCAGAAGCACGCTGACATATAAATCCCCAAGTCAAGGTCAAACAGGGCATTTGGATTTCTCAGGTTGCCCACTTTTGGCCATCTTCGAAGTTGCTTTACTTTCTTTTATTCCTGCTCTAAGTCTTTTTAATAAACTCTCGCTTCTTCTCAAAAACTTGCCTCAGTCTCTCACTCGGGCTTCTGCCCCTCAGATAAATTCTTTCCTTTGAAGAGGCAAGAATTGAGTTGTTGCAGACCCATACAGATTCAATGGTGCTAACATACTTTGATGCCACATGACTTGGATATGTTCCCCAGTGATAAGAAATCTGTATGCCTCTCCTTCTTTGGCAGGAGAAGAAGGAGACCTGCACATAGTTTTCTTCTTTACTCTCCTACTTACTAACCAGTCCCCAGAACCATTACTGTCAGCCACAGTGGCTCTGCGCCCCCTGGCTGATCTTTCAGCCTACCCTGACAGGTGGCTCACGGAGGTGGGAAGGACCTTGTAGTCCACATCATGTAGACCTGAAACACTAATGGCCCTCCTGGACAGGAGGCTCATCAAGGTGGTAGGGCTAAAGCCTAAGATTGTGCAATGTCTGCAGTATCCTCTGTTTTTTTAAATAGCGTTGGCTCTTTCCCCAGAAGCCACATCACCTATTGTCCTGTTTTCTGTGTGTATTCTGAAATGGCCTTGTGGGCCCGCCACACTGTCTGCCTCAGGAGCAAATCTGCCTTTTCTCTTCTTTCACTTTGTATTCCATGCAACTTCCTTCTCTACCTTAAACACACACTCCTGTTATTTGTGCACCCATGGCTCTTCTTGCATTTGTATGGTAGCAGAGAAACAGGCTCCCTTGCCAATGTGTGTTGGCTCATTGCCAGGATAGACATGAATCAGAACCCTGGTTCTGCCAGCTCCTTATGACTTACCATACTCTTTTCATCCCTGTTTTGCTCCAGGGTCAAGTTTTTGGTGGCTTTAGAAGCAGTTTGTATGCCTGCATAGGACATCACTCTGTGGTTCTTTAAGGATCTCACCTACTTGCTTTTTTTTTGAGTTAGCACTCCATTGGGAAGAGGGAAAATTCTTCCTTTGCCATTTGTGAGCTCTTATCCCAAGCCCCAAGTTCTCCAAAGGTTTCTCTTTATGTCAAAAGAGCAAATAAACATTGCCATTTTGAATCCCAGGGCTGCTATTTTTGTGAGCATATGAAGGCTTTCCATCAGTATTCCTCTCACTTCATCCCACTTTGTCCTGTAGCAGAGGGATTGCCCTGTCTACTCAAGCATTATTTCTGGATGTTACCCCAGGAGGACAGGGATTCCCAAATACAAAATTTTCTCCATTCCTCTAATCACTTCCGTACCCTCCTTAATGTGCATGAGGACTCTCAAAATCATATTTAAAGGGAAGGAAGTCCAGCCCATTGCAGCAGTTGGCAGAAAAACAAGCTTCTCATCTACTTAAAGAGCTGGGAAATGGATGATAAAAAAAGAGATAATCATTTTGTTGCTAGAATGCTCTGAGTGAGAGTCACTATAAGATCATGGAGCTAAGGATATAGGCCACCCCTAGGCTGCAGGTGCAAGAGACAAAGTACCCATGGGGCAGAGAGAGATAAAGGCTGGTCCCAGGCTACGGGCACAGAACAGATTACCATTAGAACAGAGATGAAGGCAAGCTTAGGGGTATCCCAGTAAGACTGGTTCATTCTGAAACTTCCAAGGATAAATGGGGGGCCCCTGTTCACTTGGGTATTTCCTCTGTTTTCAAGTGGGTAATTGTGATGAGGTAGAACAGAGGTTAGGGTACCCAGTAAGACAGGTTCATTCTGGAACCTTATGGATGAATGGGGGATGTCCTGTTTAGGAAAGGATAATAGGGGAGTAAAAAGGGATGCCTTCTTTTTCCTTTTTTTTCTCCTTCATTCTATCTTCACAGATGGGTAGTCACATCTCCATACTACAGTATAAACCCTTTGGATGCATCCTCAAGAACTGGGAAACGTTTGACCCCCAAACCCTGAAAAGGAAAAGGCTAACATTTTTCTGTATCACAGCCAGGTTTTAATACAAACTCCAGAACCAGGAATCTTGCAGAAAGTGGAAGCATAAATGTTAATATGTTCTATCAACTAAATTTGTTTTGCCACTAGCAGAGAAAAGAGACAATTCCCTATGTACAGGCATTTATGGCCCCAAGAAACAACTCAGAACTTTGTTGGGCTTGTAAACTTGATCCAGTGATGATAGCAGCCATAATCAAGCTGCCCCATCTGGTTGGTTCAGAAGACCCCTCAGTGGGTTTACCCAGGACTCAAGCCCTGGAGGAACCAAGAGTGGAGCTTAGCTCAAGCCCTACCCTTTGGCCCCATTATATCCAAGTATCTGGGCCCTGGAACCTTCCCTTCCCTACCCAGGGTCATCCTCCGGACACCACACCCTTAAGTTATGCTCCCTTCAAGAAGTTAGTTGACCTACTAGAGTTCAGACTCCAATACGCAAGACCTGAGTCAAATTAAAACAGAACTAGGGAAGTTCATGGCGGATCCTGACAAATGTATCAAAGCATTCCATAAACTGGGCTTAACATTTGAACTCACCTGGAGGGATCTCTCATTCATATTAGGATAAACCCTGTCTAAGGGAGAACACAACTCCATTGTGGAGGTGGCCCAACAATTTGCAAATGCAATGCACATGACTGATCTTGGTGGCTACCCCATATGGGCCACCACAGTTCCTTGGGTCAACCCCAATTGGGATTAAAATACCCAGGGGTGTATATGGGCAAGGAATTGCATGTTCCTATGTCTGGTAAAATGAATTGAAACTAGCAGATCCAAGCCTGTAAACTATAATAAAATTTGTCTTAATAGATCAAGGACCTCTTGGAAACCCCACCAGTTTCCTAGAGAGGCTACAAGAGGCCCTGGTGAAACATGCTAACTTAGACCCAAAGACACCAGAAGGGCAACTGGTCCTAAAGAACCATATTTTAATTCAGGCAGCCCCACATATTTGAAGGAAACTCCAAAAAGTAGCACTGGATCCCAACACCCCGATGCCTGACGCCCTCAAAATAGCTTCCTTCATTCTTTACAGCCAGGACTAGGAATAAGAGGAAAGCAAAGGAGAGGTAAAAGGAAAAGCAGCAGATCCAACTATTGGCTGCTCTAAAAATCTACCATCCCCCTCCAGGTTGCCCTCAGAATACCCTCCTAGGTAACTGCCATCAGTGTAGGAAGCCAAGACACTCGAAGGCAAACTGCCGCAGTGGGACAGATAGGAAAAATCCCTGCATGGCTTGCCCCTTCTGTCACAAACTCAGCCACTGGAAATGGGACTGCCCTGAGGGCTGAAGGGCCCCTAGGACAGAATCCCAAATCCTGATTGCCTTAAGCTGAAGGGCTGCTTTGGATGTGGCAGGTAGGACTATAGGTTTTCTTGGGGAAATGGCCTGCTTTGTGCTTATCTCTTCATGGGCAATTATCCTCCAAGGTGATAGGGGTAAATTGGGTGCCCATAACGCGGAGGTTCACTCCTCCTCTTTGTTGCCTGTCAGGGGAAACTGTCTTTTCTCATTCATTTTTAATGATAGCAGAATGTCCTACACTGCTTTTGGGTAGAGATATTTTATTGAGTTTCCAGGGGCTCAGTTTACCTTTCCTCCAGGGCCAACACCCCTTTTTCCAAATGCAATCTTATGCCTCAAGGAAATCACACAAAAGGATGAACTTCCCACAGACTTTTCCATTAATCCAGAGGTCTGAGCCTCAAGAATATCAGGAAAGGTCATAATGACATAACTCAGCTTACAGATCCTTCTAGCTATCCTTGTAGAAGGAAGCTTCCTCTTTGGCCAGAAGGCAAAGAGGGACTTTGTCCCCTAATTGAAAAATGTCTAAAACATGGATTATTAATATCCTGTAACTTACCATGTAATAACCATATTACCTGTTTAAAAGAGCAATGGAGCAATGGACAATATAGGGTATTCCAGGATCTGCAAATCATAAATGAGGTAGTAGACCCATTACACCCAATGGTCCCCAAACCATCTGTAATTCTAGGAGAAGTTCCTCCAGATGATCAGTTGTTCTCAGTCTTAGAGATCAAAGATGCTTTCTTTTGTGTCTCCCTAGACTCATCCTCCCAATTTCTATTTGCACTTCAATGGGGGAATGAAAAAGAAAAGAGACTACAGCTCACCTGGATAGTGCTTCCACAGGGTTCCAGAGATGGTTCCCTTTTGTTTGGGCAAGGCTTGGCTAGAGATTTGCAGGACCTCACTCTTGAGGGTTGAGGGTGTCTCCTACAGTACATATATGATGGATGACCTGTTAATCTGCTTCCCTACAAGAGTTATGAATCTAGCATCTAGTCCAGACACTAAATTTTCTCACGGACAGAGGGTGCAAGATATCCAAGGCCAAGGCATAGCTATTAAGACAAGAGGTCCAATACCTAGGGATAATCCTGACCCCCAGAGAACATAATCTTTATTCAGAATGGATACAGGCCATCGTTAGAATACCTACCCCATATTGCAGACTTTCAGTAATGGCATATGGTGGAATTATTAAGTCCTTATATCAGGTTCTAAAAGAAGGGACTGATAGGGAACCACTTCTCGGGGAAAAGGATCAGAAGCAAGCCTTTAGGAAACTGAAAGCTGCCTTCTCACAAGCGCCAGCCCTTGGGCTACCCAAGCTAACCAGACCGTTTCAGCTTTTTGTAAGGTGTAGCCCTGGAAGTTCTAACTCAAACCATCAGGCCATCGAATGTCCTATAGGTTACTTTTTAAAGAACCTCGACCCAGTAGTGCAAGGGTGGCCACACTGCCTAAAGGTAGTGGTTGCAGCAGCCCTTTTACTCAAGGAGGCCCTCAAAATCACCATGGGACAGTCAGTCTGGCTCCTGATATCCCACCAAATAGGCCCCTTATTGGATATTAAAAGACCTCAATGGATCACTGACAACAAACTGCTAAAATACCAAGTCTTGTCAGAAAATCCACGGGTAACAGTTGAGTGATGTTCCACTCTTAACCCAGCCTCATTATTCCCACTACTAGGAGAGGATAACTGAACGCATTCATGTTGTGAGATACTTAACCAAATTTATGTCAGTGTAGAACAATTAAAAGATCAGCCCCTAGGTTATCTAGATGAATTATGGTTTTCAGATGGGGCGGCTTCGTCAAGAATGGAGCTAGAAATGCAGTCTATGCTCTAGTGTCCCTTCACCAAATCACAGAGGCTGTAGCTCTATCACTGGGGACGGCAGTGCAACCAACCAACTAATCACATTGATCAGAGCCCTAAAACTTGAGGAAAGAAAAAGAATAACCATGTATACAGATCCCAAATATCCCTTCCTGGTGCTTCACACCCACATGGCTATCCGGAAGCAAACGGGGTACCTAACAACTTGGAATACTCCCATTAAGTACAGACCCCAAACCTTAGAGCTTCTAGAGGCTGTTCATTTGCCTCAGGAAGTGTCAATAGTGCACTGTAAAGAACACCAGAGGGGTTCCGATGAAGCTGCATGGGGAAATAGGTTTAGCTGGCCAAAAAGCTAAAGAGGCAGCCATCTCAAAAGATACCTCTGTGGGGACCTTACCCGCCTCTCTCCCCAGTGAACTGCCACTTCTCCTATACACTAAGGAAGAAATAGATTGGGCCACCCAGCATGGGTATGAAAAAGAAACCAATGGATGGTACATGTTGGGAGAACTTCTCCATCTACCTAATGCCTTCCAGTGGAAAGTCATCAAGTGTTTACATGACTTATGCTACCTTGAAAAGGACAGTCTAGAGCAAATTTGTAAATGGGTGTTCAGTGGGGAGGGACTAAACAAAACTATTCAATAGGTTTGTCAAGCCTGCACCTTGTGCACCATAAATAATCCCCAGATGGGGAAGCCCCCTCCATTAGTAAGTCAAATCCAAAGGCGAGGTACACACCCTGGGGAGGGCTGGTAGATGGACTTCACTCAGCTTCCCACATGCCACAGGTATAAGTACCTCTTGGTCTGTGCAGGTACCTTCACAGGATGGGAAGACTCCTGCCCCACAAGGACTGAAAAGACACATGAGATAGCTAACTTCCTCCTAAAGGAACTCATTCCCTGCTTTGGACTCCCCAGGTCATTGCAGAGTGACAATGATTCATCTTTTTTTCCCAAGTAACTCAACAAGTTAGTAATGCCCTAGGCATAAAGTGGTACCCTCACTTTGCCTGGAAACTGCAATCTTCAGGAAAAGTAGATAGAATTAATCAAACCCTCAATGCATCCTCAGTAATATCAGTCAGGAAACAGCAGTCATGGGAAGACCTCTTTCCTTTAACCCACCTTCAGATCCATATTGTTCCTAAGTCTCCCTAGCAATTAAGCCCCTTTGAGGTTTTATGTGATAGGCCATTTTTATGTTCAGATTTATCTACTAGATAAAGAAACTGCCAAAATCACCCAGTATGTTTCTTCTTTAGCAGGCTTCCAACAGGCTCTCTGGGAATATGGGTTACAAACAAGCCCAAAATTTGAAGGGGAAAAATCCCAGCCTCTGTATCTTCCAGGCTCACTAGTTCTCATTACAGCTTGGAAGGTTGAAACCTCAAATTCCTAACTGACTCCAGTCTGGAGGGGCCACTTTACCGTTCCAGTATCTATTCCCACAGCCATTAAAGTACGAGAGATAGCCAGCTGGATACATTACACCTAGGTGAAGTCATGGAAAGGCCCTGAAACACCAGAGCCAGAACCAACACCCTCAGCTCCAGAATACACTTATGATGCACTGGAAGATCTGAAATTCCTCTTTTAGTGAAAACATAAGTAATGCTCCCTCAACATCCTTTCACCTCAGAGTAAGGTGATCCTAGTATTAGGAATTTTACTAACAATTGCTCTGACTGTTATCACTATTGTAACCCTAACTTGTACACCACCAGGAGTTCCAGTGGCAGCTTGCTTTGTGATCAGTTTTTCTCTTTCACAATAACCTTAGGTCACTATGGCTCTGCTCCTGCTGGTCCTCATACTCATCACTTTACTAGCGGCACACTGCCATCATGATTTCCTATTATTAGAAAAAGCTCAGCGATTGCTCCAAAGCACAGGATCCTCTTACTCCACCAAATGATGACTGTGTACTAGCTCTTCCTCTAAAACACCAGGGAGAGCTTATCCAGCCTGTCCCAGAGATTGGACAAGCATAGACATAGAATTATGTATTTCCTCTCAATAGGACCCTAGTATTATTTGAGTTTGCAAATAACCTTCATGCAAAAGCAAAGCAATATTTCCTTGACATCTGAAAGGAACCTCCCCTTTTTGGATCAATCTTTTCTAATATCACTTAAATGGGAATATCCCCTATTTGTGTTATAGCCAGAAGAACAAAAATGGAGTGGATATAGGCTTTCTTCCCAATATAATTTGTAGTGTTACTCTCTGTGTAGAATTCTAACCAACAGACTGATCGAATATACACCCGAAACCAATTCCATTATCAACCAAGATTCTCCAAACCTTCAAATATTAACTTTCTTCAGGGAACTTTGCTAAATAAGTCCATTCAGTTTTGCCAGCAATGCCCAAGCTTATGCAGTACTTGAAATTTCTAGTTCCAGCCTGCTGATTATAACAAATGTCAGCAATTTGCCAACCTCAGCCTCACAGTACAATGGGTTCTATGGGACTAAACTCAAAATTCTCTTCTTTTGGGAAAATGAAACCAAGGGAGTTAATCAGAGCCAAACCCTATGCACCCAAGTGTAAGCAGGCATGACTGTAGCTATCAGCTACCTGGGTGTGTTGTCATCCTTGGCGTTTTTTGGGGGATGTCCTCATCCCTTATTTTATTTTGACATCTCTACTTGTCTTAAAATCCAAGGAGCCTTCTATATGTGTGGCCAATCACTTTACCAATGCCTCCTCACTAAATGGACTGGAACTTGTACCATAGATTATGTATCCCTGGACATCTTCATACTCCCTGGCAGTCTCTCTTTTCCAATACTAATCATGGGAATTCTATCTTGCCCAGGGTGAAAAGGGCTATCAATTAATTCCCCTTCTCATGGGACTCAGTATTATAGCCAGTATGGGAACCAAAATTGCCAGAATCACAAAAGCCTCCTTGACTCCTTGACCTATAGCGAACTCTCAGAGGATATTAGCCAACAATTTTAATGTCATAGCTAAAACCTTAACAAACATACCAAAACAAATTAACTCTTTAGCAGCTGTAGTCCTTGAAAATTGTCAAGGACTAGATATGTTAATGGCAGCACAGGGAGGAATTTGTTTAGCCTTAGAAGAAAAATGTTGCTTTCAGGTAAATCAGTCAGTAAAAATGCAAAACAACATCAGACAACTCCTAAATCGGGCCTCCAGTTTACAAGAACAAGCCTTTCAGGGTTAGTTAGATGGGGAAGGAAGATGGAGATGGTTTTCCTGGGTTCTTCCCTCTTTAGGCCCACTTGTTACCCTCCTACTTTTTCTCCTTTTAGACCATGTGTTCTAAATCTAGTAACCCAATTTTTCTACTTTCTCTCACCTTTAGATGATCAAGCTCCAGATGATCCTCAGTGAGGGATACCATCCTCTCAATATTCAAGAGTCACCCTTCTACAGAGGACCCCTAGACTTCCCATCAGTGGGACCATGGCAGACGTGAAATCCTGCCCCTGTCTCCCTTAGACCTGGCTGGATACTGCTTTCATCAAGCCATGTAGCCGTTCTGCCCTGACAGCCAGCAAGAGGCCAAGACCCACGGAAGAATCACCACCACACCTCTGTCAGCAGGAAGCAGTCACAGAAGACTGACTCCCAAAGAATTGGGTCGTGGTCTCTCATGGGGGGAAATGTTAGAGTAGGTAATTACGCAGACATGAGCAAGGGAGGAGAGACCTCCTCCAACCAGGAATGTCAGGTGACCATCAGATGACTTCTCAGTAAGATCTCAGGAGTTGGGCAAGCAGACTCAAACATGTGCACTAAGAGGCAAAATGGTACAGTTTAACTGGTATGTGGACTTCCTCGAGAAACACTTGACTCATAAGGGTAAAATGTCTCAAGTGAGCATGCACAGCTTCAGTAAAAACAGACCATGTATGCAGCCCCTCACAAGTGCTGGCAGGCCACTGCACATGCGGACAGCCTGCCCCAAGGGAAAAAAATCACAAGAGGAGAGATGCAAAACCCCAGAAGCATGCCAACATATAAAACCCCAAGTCTAAGGCCAAATAGGGCACTTGGATTTCTCAAGTTGTCCACTTGGCCCTCTTACAAGTGTACTTTATTTCCTTTCATTCCTGCTCTAAAACTTTTAAACTTTCACTCCTGTTCAAAAACTTGCCTCAGTCTTTCACTCTGCCTTATGCCCTTTGGATGAATTGTTTCCTTCAAGGAGGCATCAAGCTGCTGTTAACCCACACAGATTCGCTGCTGCTAACAGGAGTATGGCTTGAGCCCAGAAGGTTGAGGCTGCAGTGAGTCACGATCATGCCACTGCTCTCCAGCCTGGCAACAGAATGAGACTCTGTTAAAAAAAAAAAAAAAAAGACTTTTTACAAAAAGCAAAATGATAATGGAACTAAAAATGCACATTGACTGAACTCCAACTACTTCTTCTCTCAATTGAAACCACTTTTGCAAAAATTGTAACAGTGAGAAAATTATGGCAGTAGGGGTGATCTAATCAAGCCAAAACCCAACTTGGCTTTAGCCTTCAAGCTGCCCTTAATTATTCCTAGGCTTAGGCCAAGCTAACTCTGGGGACACTTACTTTATAGTTTAAATGATAGTAGTCCTTCCCCAAAACTCAACTACCTCTGCAAGGCTGAAGGCTGATAAGAGGCCACCAGGCTAGGAGGATAGAGAAGCCTGAATTCTGCTTAGGTATAGATATAAACATTTTCCAGCCATTATTCTGAGGGATCACAAAATATGCAACTTCTTCAATTACTCCTGCAGATAAGATCTCTCTTTTAGAACGTAAGATTGGGCTTTTGAGATGCCTTTTCAGGTTTTTTGTTTGTCTGACTACTGATGGCTCCACATGGACCCACCAATCACTCCTGCGGCCCCATACAGAAGCAACTCAGCATGCATAAAGGCTATTTCCCACACCACTATGACTGCAGCCCCCAACCAATCAGCAAGCGTTTATTGCTTAGACAGCCCCATTCCTTCCCTAAACCATCCATGAAAACCCTAGCTTCCAAATTTCCAGGGAAGCAGATTTGAGCAATAAAATACATCTCCCATTTAGCCAGCTCCATGTGTGTAAAACTCTTTCTCTATTGCAATTCCCTTGCCTTGATAAATGATAAATCACCTCTATCTGAGCATCAGGCAAGAAGAACCCATTGAGTCCTTACAGTATCCTTCTTTCTACCCTTATCTACCTAATTACTCTGAATGTACTAACGTTTTCACTCAGTTATTTTTCCACTTTGAATACAAAAAGAAAGTGAACAGGGGAAATGCCTTATGAAATTAGTCCCTCAGAATAAACCAGCTGGGCTTTCTTTAACCACCTTTATGCCTTATTCAAAATCTAAGCTCAGAGACAATAGTGAAAGGATTTTTTATCCCAAAGGAAAACTCTTAGAAATTTGCTGAAGCTATCCATGCTGAGTCTAGGTATCGAACATGCTTTGCCCTATTTATTCATGGGCACTACCCTGAGCTCAGTAGTTTTTTTAAAAAGCTGGGTTGGGAAGACACAGATCTAGCTGAATTCGTTGCCAAAATATGTTATCTGGCATAAAGATTATTTTGAGAGAGTTCTTTTTGAGACTCCTTCTAAGAGAAATTTGTATCTACAAAGGAGGTCTCCAATTATAAACTTGTTTCTCTCTCTGCATCAGGAAAAGGAGGAGGACTAAATAACCAGGCACTCTTAATCAATAGAGGAGTTTAATCTGAGTAACAAACCTTACTTTTATTGAAGGTGCTTTTTCAGGCTCTCTGCCATTAAGATCTGTATTTTCCACCCTGCCTCCTCTAGGACCTGAGGATTATCACTTTGATATGAAAAAGCCAGGGAGATTACTCATCAGAAGAATAAGAAAGAAAAGAGCTATTTGGAAATTGAACAAACAAAAAAATCTTGTTTTTTTTCTTTTCTTCAGAAACAGCGAAAAGCTTTAGCCATCTTGTAGATAATCCTAACTTGTTCCATGTGCCAGAAACACAATTTGCATTCAGAAATTCTTTTATAAACTGTTGTTGTATTATTGTACCTGGCACATGGCTACAATTTTCAAATCAAAACTGTGAAATCTGCTTCTGTCTGTATTTTATGTATGTCTACATATGCATATAATGTGTAATATGTTTTTATGTCCAGAGACTATCCTAAAATTAACTTGTAAAGAGCTACAGTTAATGGTCTTAAAAAGCACTTATACAAATTAAGTATTTTTTAAACTTTCAGAAACATAGGACCTAACCCAAATGTTCTTCAGGTGCATATTGGTAAAAGGAAAAACTTCAGCCAAATTAAATTTAAAGGAGTTTAATTGACCAATGAATGATTAACGAATCAGGCAGCCCCCAGAATCACAGCAGATCCAGAGAGTCCCCAGGGATGCCTGGGGGTCAGAACAAATTTAGAGACAAAAAAAGAAAAGTGACATACAGAAATTAGAGTGAGGTACAGAAGCAGCTGGATTGGTTACAGGTTGGTATTTGCCTTATTTGAACACAGTTTGAACACTCAACAGTGTCTGAGTGGTTGAACTATGGCTGGTAGAATTGACCAAGACTCAGCTATTGTTACAGGCATACACTCCTAAATTAGGTTTTCAATCTTGTCTACCTATTAAGTTACTACATTACAGTTTGTCCACAAGGACTCAAATATAGAAGTACAGAGTCCTTCTCAGGCCATCTTCAGTTCTCTTTAACAATATGATATGGGATTAATGTTGAGTAAATAAAAATTGCTTTAAGTTTGTTGGATTAACTAAAGCAGGCATGTCTTTGGACTTGTCAACATTAAATATAATACATGCATACCTTTTTTTCTTCCAAGGTTTACTAGGCAAATAAGTTTATGTTATTTAACTAGATGTTTAAGATTATAAAACTATGAGTTTTATCTAAGAGCAAAAGTGAAAATGCAGTAGCTAATACTTTATCAAGTACAGCAGTAAAGGAAATATATATTAAGTATAGCAGTAAAGAAAAAAAAACAAGTATTTCACTTTTTCTTTTTTTTTTTTTTTTTTGAGACGAAGTCTCACTCTGTCTCCCAGGCTGGAGTGCAGTGGCTAGATCTTGGTTCGCTACATCCTCCGTCTTCTGGTTCAAATGATTCTCCTGCCTCAGCCTTCTGAGTTGCTAGGATTACAAGCATGTGCCACCACCCCTGGCTAATTTTTGTGTTTTTAGTAAAATGAGATTTTACCATGTTAGTCAGGCTAGTCTCGAACTCCTGACTTCATGATCTGCCCACCTGGGCCTCTCCAAGTGCTGGGATTACAGGCATGAGCCACCGAGCCTGGCCTTAACTTTTTATTGGTTCTTGCTTTTGTGATGTTTGCCTAACATACATATGCTATAAACATAGTAAGTAGGAAAATATTAATAACTTGAGATGTTGACTAGCTTTGTCTAATGTTTAAAGAAATGTTCACAAATAATTCAATTGTAGTTAAGAACAATTGAATTAATGTAAGTAGAATAGAAATTATAAATGAAATTTTCAATAATAATTTTTTTCAATGAACTTTTCAATAGTAATTATATTTTAAATTTTGCCTCCATTTCTTTTGTTAAGAAGTTGACACTATTTATAGTATGGCTGCCAGAATTAACCAAGACTCAGCGATTGTTACAGGCACATACTCCTAAATTACAGGCACATACTTCTAAATAGTGTTAACTTCTTAACAAAAGAAATGGAGGCAAAATTAATATAAATGAGAATTTATTTGGGCCAAATTTGAGAACTGCAATGCGGGAGACACACTTTCAAGTTGCTGTGAATATAAACAATTAGCAGCAGTTACAAGTGGGTTTAAAAAAGCAGGGGGGCAGTTCTTTAGTTACATATAAACTATTAATTGGCTATACATTGCAGTTTTTTTCTTTTTTTTTTTTTTTTGTAATCATAAGTTACAGGACCCTGAAGATAATGGGTAAAGGTCACATCCCCTGGGCATAGATTTGGGGTGGAGTGTGACAAAAAAATCTCATACTCATGTCTCTCTGAGCCTGATAAATTTTGCATACTCCACATAGTTTAGTCTGTTCTGAGCTATTTTTCTTTTCTTCCTTTTGGCTGAGTTTTTTCTTCTTCTGAAAGTATTGATGATCAACATTTTAGATGTAAGTTTGTTCCATATCACTGGGAAGACTTAATTTCAGTTAGTCTCCTCCCACATTGGAGGACAAGAGGAGAGATAAAATGGCTTAAGAATGCAATGAAGTCTCAAGGCCATGATTGGCAACACAAAAGGACAGGGCAATGGTATTTTAGGCCATCTGCTTACAAAGGAGCCATGGCATGTTAGATCATTTCTAAGCATCTAGGTGTCATTATTTTAGTTTTTTTATTGTTGATTTTAGACATCTGGAAATGCAAAGTAAAATCAATTTGAGAATAAAAGACATGATGTAAATAAAGACAATTACTAACAAAATCCAGATCTAAAAAATATTTTTATTTCCGAAGGCAACCAAATAAATATTATGTCTACTTCTTGTGCAAACATAAAGAACAAGGTATAGAAGATCTCCAGTGATGAGTTATCTACTCAGGCAAAACTGCCTTTTTAAGATAAAAGTTATGAATCCATAAGTCAATGTATTTGAGCTTACCTCCACAAGTATTGGTTAACAGTACTGGATATGGTCACTTCCAAGGTGGTTGGAGGGTGTTTATTATTTGATGGCATTTCCAATAAACACAATCTCCACATTGGAGGCCATGGTATTTGATGTTTTTATCTCCTGGAAGCACACTGTATTGTTGGGACATACCTATCCAGACAGATGATGATAAATTTTGCATACCTCACATAGTTCAGACTGCTCTGAGCAACTTTTCTTTCTCAGTAGCTTCTCTGTTAACTTATGCCTATAGAGTTTTGCTAAGTTAAATTAGATAATGGACATTCATTAAATGTTTAGATCATTTCCAAATAACATAAAATGCTGAAACATTAGTTGCTTAACATAAGTTAATCTACTTTTGGCTTTTGTTACAAAGGAACTAAATATATTTACATCTGTTAAAAAACATTTTAAAATGAGAAAATATTTTCTACAGAAATTATAAAATGGTGTATTTATAGATTTACCAGTTTACGGAATGCCCCTATAACGGTTCACAAAAATTTATTATTTTCTAGTTTTACTAGAAATTAAAGTTACTAAGAGTTAACAATTTTAACCAATATATACTAGTTAAAATGATAAAAAAAATAATAAGGGAGATAACTCTATGCAAAGAAAGGCATGTTTTCTGGTAAGGAAAGCTGTAGAGTATAAGGATGTGCTTTTTTTTTAAGGAAAAGAAAGAATAATTTTGTCTAGTTTGGAGGTTAAAGGTTGTTTCAGAATGAATGAAGGACACAATCTAAATGGATGCAATAAGTTAGGAAGAGAGATTATGTACACACAAAATAAATGACTTATATGGACAAGTTGGCTAGAATTGAATGTATTATAAGGTTATAAAACTGAATCATGGCTGGGCACAGTGGCTTACGCCTCTAATCCCAGCACTTTGGGAGGCCAAGGTGGGTGGATCACAAGGTCAAAAGATTGATACCATTCTAACCAAGATGGTGAAACCCCACCTCTACTAAAAATACAAAAATTAGCTAGGTGTGGTGACATGTTCCTGTAGTCCCGGCTACTTGGGAGGCTAAGGCAGGAGAATCACTAGAACCCAGGAGGCAGAGGTTGCAGTGAGCCAAGATCGCGCCACTGCACTCTAGCCTGGACCAGAGTGAAACTCTGTCTCAAAAAAAGTCTTAATATCAAAAGTAAACTGATGTAAAACTAGAATTTGGTCTCTGTGAAAATAACAGTTTTCTTTTCTAAGAGTATTGCTCCAGTTTTTAAAAGTGATTCTGAAAAGTTTTCCTTTCCTTTGTAACTAATTGGGCTACAAAAATGAAGATTTTGTGCTTTCTCAAAATAATTCTTTGTGCTTCATGTTGCCTTTTTTCTGTCTTTAATTACTTAAGAAAATTGAATCTTTTCAATAAAAGAGCTAGAGTTTTGTTTTGTTTTACAATTATTAAACCTTCTTTATTGCCTTTGAAATCTTTCAGTGGTTACTTTTTATGGCTTCACAGTGATTTGTGACATACTTAATCAAGTGTTTAAAGCATTTGATATTTTTGCCAAATTTCCAAAAGCCAAATTCTAAACTAAACCTTTTTTTTAACCTCAAGCTAACTAGGATTTTCCAGATGGATTCCTGGAATATCTCAAAAGACTTTGCTTTCTTTATAGAAAGAGAGGTCAGGCACAGTGGCTCAGGCCTGTAGTTCTAGCACTTTGAGAGGCCAAGGTAGGCAGATCACTTGAGCCTGGGAGTTGAGACCAGCCTGAGCAACATAGGGAGACCCTTTTCAAAAAAATAAAAATTAGCCTGGCAGCCAGGCACAATGGCTCATGCCTGTATTCCTAGCACTTTGGGAGGCTGAGGCGAGCAGCTTGCCTAAGCTCAGGAGTTCAAGACCAGCCTGGGCAACATGGTGAAACCCTGTCTCTACTAAAAATACAAAAACTTAGCCCAGTGTGGTGGTATGTGCCTGTAGTCCCAGCTACTCTGGAGGCTGAGGCAGGAGGATTGCTTGAATCCGGGAGGCAGAGATTCAGTGAGCGTAGATCGCACCACTGCACTCCAGCCTGGGCAACAGAGCAAGATTCCATTTAAAAACAATTAGCCTGACATGGTGTCTCATGCCTGTAGACCCAGCTACTTGGGAGGCTGAGGTGGGAGGATCACTGAGCCTGAGCCTAAGGAATTACAGACTGCAAGGAGCCATAATTATGCTACTGCATTTCACCCTGAACAAGATAGTGAGACCTGAAAAAAAAAAAAAAAAAAAGGAAGGAAGGAAGGAGAAAAGGAGAGATGATACACTAATTAGGCAGATTTGATAATGTTGAATTGCATGGGAAGCATTGTCAAATAAGGGTGATGTTTAACCTTCTTATGTTGTAATTTTGTGGGTATATGTTATTCATGTAAGTTTTCCAAAAGTTCTATGAACTTCCATACTCTGATATGTTCTGATATGTTATCAGTCACAATTTTAGTTAAAGTGTTGTACTTCTCAGAAATAACAAATTACATTGTCAATTGCATTGTAAGAACTTTCATCAGATCTTTAACCATGGCCATTTTTAAGTCTTTTATCACCCACAAAGAGTTGTTTCACTCTGATACTTTCCTGAAAGTTATTCCAAATGCTTTGCTTTCAGGAAGATTTATGGAAAAGACTGAAAAGTATGGGTTTCTGGTAACTTTAAGATCATAACATTGAACTACATAAGAATTTCCAGGACTCTATTGGAAAAACTAAACTTTTAAAATTGCTAGCCCAAGATCAAGTAAAAGAAAAATTAATTACATGGTGATATGATTTGGCTGTGTCCCCAACTGAATTTCAAGTTGAATTATATCTCCCAGAATTCCCACATGTTGTGGGAGGGGCCCAGGTGGAGGCTATTAAATCATGGGGGCTGGTCTTTCCCTTGCTAGTCTCATGAAAGTGAATAAGTCTCACGAGATCTGATGGGTTTATCAGGGGTTTCCGCTTTTGCTTCTTCCTTATTTCACCATCAGGTAAGAAGTTCTTTCACCTCCTGCCATGGTTCTGAGGCCTCCCCAGCCATATGGAACTGTAAGTACAATTAAATCTCTATTTCTTCCCAGTCTCTGGTATGTCTTGATCAGCAGCATGAAAACGGACTAATGCTCATGGGATAAAATGTATTGATAATAATGACAGTTTCATGACTTTTTGTTTGAAACACTGCTGTTTCTTTAACGTCTTATTTTTCAGATTTAAGATACTTTTTTCTTTTTTTCCTTAAGCTATCTATAGCTTACAGAAATTTAGCAGATTATATCTTTTTCAACAGAAAAGAAGCATATACTTTTTCTCTTACCTGATCCCTCCAGAATTCAGAAACTATTATCAGGTATTATTATTTCCAAGGCAATGTAGTTATTTGCATAACTGCAATTAAGAATATGTTCTTCTGGGCTGGGTGTAATGTCTCATGCCTGTAATCCCAGCACCCAAGGAGGGCCAGGAGTTCAAGATCAGCATGACCAATATGGTGATGAAACCCCATCTCATTTAAAATATATATATATAAATTAGCCAGGCATGGTGGTGCATACCTGTAATCCCAGCTACTCAGGTGGCTGAGGCATAAGAGTTTCTTTTACCATGGAGGTGAAGGCTGCAGTGATCTGGGATTGCACCACTACACTCCAGCCTGGGTGACAGTGAGACTCTGTCTCAAAAAAAAAAAAAATATATATATATATATATATATATATATATATATTCTTCCTATAACAGGACACAATTAGAAACACTGGTTATATTACCAAAGTTTTGACTAGAATGTCATATTTTTAAATATGCATAAAATTTCATATAACCATACAGTTCTTAGGAACTAAGTTTGACTTTAAGAAGCCGATAAAGCCCCTTGGAAAAAACTGGCCTGGTACCTTGCTCACAGGATTCCTGACCTTACAGATTGAGAGAAAGTTCAGTTTTGTGAAGGTTTAGAACTCTTAAGGAGATTTTAAGAACTAAATGAAAAAGAGAATTCACCCAAATTTGTAGGTACTGCAGGTGAAGTCTGATGGCAATTCTTTGGCTTGCCTTCCTAGCTTGGAAAAACTTTTGAATTCTAATTTGAGACTCCTTAATAAAAGTCCCAGCAAAGTATATTTTGAAAAAGCTTACACAATGAATCACTATTCTTTGATTACTTACATAAGGTAAGTAATCAGGCCACGTGTTATAGGACTAGGCCTATTTTGCAAACAAATCAGTTTTTCTATGATTAGTTTTGGAATGGGCATGACTGTAAAGAGAAAAATTATATACTAGTAGAGAACTGTGGCTCACCCATTGTTAGATTCGAGCCTAGTTCATTGTCTTTGAGATTTGGTTATCTACTTGTAAACTGAACTGGATTCTGAATTCTCATTTCCTCCAATATGACCTACTCAGCTGACTGCAAATGTGAGGGTTCCAATGACCTTTTCCTCACATTCAATAATTTACTAGGATGATTAATGGAACTCAGGAAAACACTTATGATTGCCAGTTTAAAATGAAAAATGCAATTTAGGAATAACTAAGTGAAAGGGATTCATGGGACAAGGTAGGGGGGCTCTTTCTTCCATGCCCTCTCCTGGTGTATCATCCTCCTAGAACTTCACTGTGTTCACCAACCCAGAAGCTCTCTGAACCACAAAGTTTAGAGATTTGTATGGAGGTTTTATTACATAGGTATGATTAGTTAAATCTCCAACCACTGGTGCATGAACATTATCTTTACTCCCTTCCTCCAACCCCCAGAAGTGAAAAGGGGTGCTAAAAGTTACAACCCTCTTATATTTGCTTTCAGATGACAACTCCAAAAGTGA